GTGGGCAGGAGCTCTGAAAAGCAACCCCACTTCCATAGACTGCTGTCGAGGCATGGCTTCTGCACGCCCAACTTTCAGACAGGCTGTTTCCTTTCTGCGGTCCACAGTATAGTACAACTGAATTAAGCACTCTTCGTTACTAAGGCACTGAAATTGTTTAAAAGCTGATTTCGGGGAACAAGAGGGGAAAGCTAGCAATGAGCCAATGACCCCTCCTGCTAACCTCCGCCTGGTTTTAAGGCAGAAGATTCTCAGGATCTGGGCCCTGGATGCTGCTGATAAAGGATAAGATATCAATGATCCACTTGGACCAAGACGTGGCCATGGCTCAACCCCAAATTTGGTGTTGGTTTCTGCTTATTATGAGGAAATCAAGAAGCTAGGACTTAAAAGAAAATTTAAAAAGGCACAATATACTGCACACCATGATCCCCTAGAATGGGGTTCGGGCTTCTTCACCATTCCCATCTCCATATGCTTCTAACTCAGGAATGTAGGTTAAGAGGGAAAAGTAAGCCCTGGCCAGTTTGGCTCAGCGGTTAGAGCGTCGGCCTGCGGTCTGGAGAGACCCGGGTTCGGTTCCCACTAAGGGCACGTACTTCAGTTGCAGTTTGTCCCCGGCCCTGATTGGTTGTGCGGGTGGCAGCCACTCGATGTGTCCCTTCACGTCGATGTTTCTCTCTCTCTCTCCCTCCCACTCTATCTGTACAAAAGATGGAAAAATATCCTCAGGTGAGGATAAAAAAAAAAAAAAAAGAGGGAAAGTAAGCAGCCTGCCACAGGGGCAAAGGCCACGGAACTGACCCTGGAGGAAGGGAGAGCAAGGAACACTCTTCCCGGTTCTGTTTTCCGACCTTTCTGCTGCTGAACGCGTCTGCTTCTTCATTCCTTCCTGATTCAATTATTAGCGAGTATGGGCAGCACTGTACTAGACATTATCATCTTCTTCCTATTTTTCAAAATTCCTCCTGTCCCTCCACCCCTTTCTCTGTTCTTTGGCATTACTGTTCCCCATGTACTATCTGTAAGGGTCTCTCCATGCTTCAGTTCCAAGAAACAGACTTGGCTCCTTTCTTCACAGGAAATAATGAAGTTGGTTCTTGGGAGGAGGACAGAGGGACACAGTCCTGAGCAGCACCTGGGGAGCGAACACGACAAAAGAAGAGAGGCTGGACAGGTAATGGAGTAGAGACAGCTGCAGAGTTTTTCCCCCTATTCCAGATTTAACTAACTCCTTTGTTATCAAAAATAATGATGTCAGCACCAATAACTTGCTGATTATAAAATTTTCCTTAGCAGAGAGAGAATTAACATTTAATGAATACCTGCCACCTGCCAGGCTCTGGGAAAGGCTAGTGGTCCTCAGGATTCAGTGGTCAAGGATGCCTCTGGAATTCTCGTGGACGTGTTAAAATCTACCCTAGAAAAACTCAAATGTACACAAAATTTTACATAGAAACAGGGGCAAATGGTACCCTGAAGTACAACTTACAGACCCCAAAATAAAACCTTTTGTGCTAAGCTTACATCTGCAAGCACAGCATTACTGACACTGGATGCCACTGTCCTCACCATGCAGATGAGGGGACATACTCAAGATCACATACATAATAAGTGGCAGAAACATGTCAACCAGATTTGTCTGAACATTACAACTTGCCGCCCTAGATGAAAATGTCATTTGGTTTTAACTGTTCCTGTAAATGTCACTCCTTATTTTTAAATGAGGGAATAAAGATTCTGTGAGAAACTGAACTCTGGGCAAAGCATCCCAAACCCAGCCACCGGAAATCAGGAAGCTCAGAATTCCCAGTGGTTCCAATCCCGAATCCTCTCAGCCAAAAGGCTCCCTTCCCCCCACACCCACCACCCAGCTGGAAACAAGCTGAGGGGCTGCTTCTCCTAGAGGTTCATGTCCTTGGAGCAAGAGGAACCTCTCGCCCGGCCGGTGTGGCTCAGTGGATTGAGCGCCAGCCCATGGACTGAGAGGTCCCAATTCCCATTCCGGGCACATGCTCGGGTTGTGGGCTCGATCCTCAGTAGGGAGTGTGCAGGAGGCAGCTGAGCAATGTTTCTCACATCGATGTTTCTAGCTCTCTTTCCTTTCCTCTCACTCTAAAAAATTAATAAAAACATACTTAAAAACAAAAAAAAGAGGAACCTCTGTCAATAATACCTTAATAAAATGGGGGGAATTTTTTTGTTTTGTGTTTTTTAATCCTCACCCGAGGATATTTTTCTGTTTATCTTCAGGTAGAGAGAGAGGGAAACATTGACGTGAGAGGGACACATTGACTCGTTGCCTCCCACACCACCCCAACCAGGGCGGGGACAAACCGCAACCAAGGTACGTGCCCTTGACTGGAATCAAACCCAAGATACTTTGGTTCCGAGGGCCAACGCTCTACCACTGAGCCAACTGGCCAGGGCTAAAACTGAGAGATTTTTTTTAAAAGCAATCTCTAAAATAATCTGTCAGTCAAAATGTGAATTAAGAAACTAGTCAAAGCCTATGGATATGAAACAAAAGAAATTTAATTTCCAAACATTACATGAATAGAAAAGACAATGCATATGGTTATTTCTTTACAGTTATACACATACATATATGTGTGTGTGTGTGTGTATATATATATATATGAATGATATATAGTCAAACAAGAATGAAAAAAATGGTGACAGTTAAGAAACCTGTTCTCTTGTTCAACGCGCTCAGGGATAGCAAAGGCAACCCCTTGCTATGAAGAAAGGACCCTGGGCGGGAGTGTTTTTCCCAACAGGTTCTGCTGGACCCCAAACATGTGGGGGAGTGCTCAATGGCTCTTTAGCACGGCTGTGGCCTCACACACTCCAGTTTCCATGGTAACTCAGGCACTCAGGCTATTATGTACTCCGCCTCCTCCCTAGCCCCTCCATCAACTCTCCACTAGTGGAAAGATCTCAGCATTAGCTGTCTAGGAAAGCCAGGTTTTTATAGCAGTTTTAGATTGGGTTAATTACCGCCGGTTTGAAAAGCTTGTGCATTTTAGGAAGCCAAATCTTCCCCTAAATGTAGGGCAACCCAGCCAAATGCTGGTGTCCAGGTTTGGGCCTGGGTCTTATCTTCAGCACGAAGACTTCAGGGCGGAGGAGGGCAAGGAGGAGGCTCTGTCCTGGGAAAGGCCATCTCCAGAATGAGCCATCAGCTTCAAGCCTCTGTGCAAGGCCCTGTACAAAGTAAGGAAGCAGACAGTCTAGAGACGTCCATTCCCCAAGACGGCTGCCCAGTGATGCATGACCACACAGCTGGTCGCCATGGGGTTCTCCTAGAAGGCAGCTGTTTTAAGCCGAGTCCTGTGAGGCTCCTGTGAGGGAAGCTGAGCAGGAACACGGCTGTTCCGGAGAGAACGGCCCTGCTCTGGCACTCCGGGCACCTGGCTTCCCACGGGCCAACGAAACCACCACCTCTGAACTACGTGTCACCGCGCTCAACAGCCCTGATTACTCCACCTCCCAAGGGCGCTCCCTTGTCATCGCTGGCTGACCCCGGAAGGACATTCAGAGTAAAGAGCTTGTGGTGGGTCAGCTGTGGTTTCAGCTATGTCTAAGCACCAGTCCCTTTAATATGTTGGCCTCTCCGACATAATCAGCATCTCCTAATCCTTTCACTGCTGCACTGGAGATCTTGGTTTGTTTTTGTTTGTTTGTTTTTATTTTTTTTTAATCCTCACCCAAGGATATTTTTCCATTAATTTTTATTTTTATTTATTTTTTATTTTTTTATCCTCACCCGAGGGCATTTTTCCATTTTTTTACTCAGAGAGGGAAGGAGAGAGAGGAAGAGAGAGAAACATTGATGTGAAAGGGACACATCGAGTGGCCACCACCCACACGACCCAACCAGGGCCGGGGACAAACTGCAGCCAAGGTACGTGCCCTTAGCGGGAACCGAACCCGGGTCTCCGTGGACCGCAAGCCGACGCTCTAACCACTGAGCCAAACCGGCCAGGGCGTCCATTAATTTTTAGATAGAGTGAAAGGGAGGGAGGGGGAAGAGAGAAACATTGACGCAAGAGAAACACATCGATTGGTTGCTTCCCCCTCGACCCCGACCAAGGCCAGGGATCAAACCTGCAACCAAGGTACAACATGCCCTTGACTGAGAACTGAACCCATGACCCTTCGGTCCTTAGGATGACACTCCAACTGCTGAGCCAAACCAGCCAGGGCTGGTTATTTTTCTCACTGTGTGTCATTTTTTCTCTTTCTTTTGTTGTTTCTTTTTTGGGGGTTTTATTTTTTTTATTTTTTGCAGTGGACTTTTCAAACCAGATTCATTGGTCCCAGTGCAAAAGTCCATCACTATAAAAGGTAAGCAACTGCAATGCCTATGGTTTTTTCCCTGATTCAACACTGTGGCTCACTCAATGCAGATCTGAATCAATGAGGTGGTCTGTTTTTATGCTTGAGCCTCTGGCACAAAAACATTGCCCCGGGTTGACACCACAGCAAAACCCATCTCAACTGACCCCAGAAAGAAATGAAATTTTACAAGCCAGAAGAAGAGGCATTTCAAAGAGATTGGTCCACAAAGAAAAGTAAACATAAAAAACATTTTTTTAATCTTACAGACTTAAAAAATTGTTAAATACTGGCTCAGAAAATACCCACCCACCAAGGCAGAAGAAAAACAGTACCCTTCTGTGGCAAATGAAAAGGGTTTTTGTTTTTGAGTTCTCCATAAGATTCCACAGGATTAGAACAGTTACATATTACAAGGCAGGTTATGCTATTTATTTCTCAAATGTGGATTCCAACTGGATCACAGTTTCTATTTTTTTTTTAATGACTTATCATACCCTTAAAGCAAAGGAAAGCATGTTTAATAAATAACTTAACTGAAACACACACACCGATACAGACACAAGGCCCGTGCGAGCCGCGCCGTATGAAAACACGCCCACGCGGCAGATCTCGCCCCACCCCAGCACCAGAACACTACCGACTCCGTACAAAGAGGGCCTCCTAAATATCACGTACCTCCTCAGACCAAACCACAGAGCAAACTCGATGACAAGGAGGTACTGGGTCACTGTCTGCTCCCGCTAGCTGAGGCCGGATTATGTAGGACAGTCCACACTGCAGGGGAGAAGCAGTTAGATGAATCAAGTGTGGAGAGAAGGGAGGACACTACTTCAGTCTGGTCACACCGAAAGGGGTTTTGATTTGAATTCACTGACAGCTGGTGCAAGGAATTTTATTTTTTTTCAATAAGGACAAAAGCCAAATAGAAACTTATACAAATTAACTTGCTAAGAAGTACTTTTTTTTTAAATCCTCACCCAAAGATATTCTTCTATTTATCTTCAGATAGAGTGGAAGGGGAAGAGGGGGAGAGAGAGAGAGACACTGCCTCCTGCATGGGACCAAACTGCAACCAAGGTACATGCATGCCCTTGATCAGAATCGAACCCTCAACTCTTCAGTCTGCAGGCCCACGCTCTAACCACTAAGCCAAACAGGCCAGGCACCAAGAAGTACTTTTAAGAATAACATAAAACTGCTCTAGAGAAAGAGACTCTACGCAGTTTTATACTCCTAACCATCAATCTATCAAACTGGAAGGCCAAATTTTATTTAGTTTTTCTTCACTATTGCTGTTACAGCAGCAAAAGAAACAGTAAGTATGAGAAAGAACTGACACCGAAACAAAACCAAACTCTGCTCCCAGGGTCATTTTCATGTCAGTGATAATACAGCATTTTCAACAGTTTAAAAACAGGCCCGCCAAGCACACTTTGCCGGGCAGCTGCTCCCCCGCAGAGGCCCGACAGCTCCAGCACACGGAGAACGAATGTACACAGCTTACTGGAGCAGCACAGACCAACTGTCCTCGCCTGCCACACCTGCTCCGGGGGCAGTGAGCATTCACACGAGATCAAAACCATGCCACTGCTCACCTCAAGCACATGTGAACATCTCAACCCACTCAAAGCTCCAGCTCCAGCCCGGTCTCCAAACTCCTCCCCGTGCCCATATGACGAGGAGAGGGGCTGTGCAGCTATCAGAACTGCGCTGATAAGCCACACTGCTTCCAAATGAGAACATTCTCTCCTTTAAATCCTCTCAGCCCTGCAGAGACTGCTGCTCACTTCCTTCCTCTGACTCCAGCTGGCTGCAGACCTGGTCCCTTAGAAGAATGCAGCATAACCCCACCCCTGAGGAGTCCTCCAGAACATAAAGCCAGCCAGCCTCAACCTGGGATTACTCCAGAGCTTCCACTACATACAGGCAAACCTCAATTAAGCAGCCAGAGACCTTCCTTGAGTCACAGTGATTTGGCACAGAAGTACTGGTACCACATGGCACCAGAGATGTTTTAGGTGAGAAGAACCTGAGAAAAGGAAATGAGTTCAGCAACCACACAATTATTTGGCATCACTGAGGAAAGAGGAACTCAGGGAGGGAGAGAAGAGAGAGGGAGGGATACAATTTAATAATTAACATTTGTTAAAATACTGTATCATTCTGAATTCTCCTTTTTCAATACTGCAAACCAATACCCTGCAATCTCAGGCCTAAGAAATAATGAAAAATTTCCAAGAAAGCCATACATTCCTTGGACACAAATAAGGTATTGAGGGATACAGCCTCATGAGATATAGAGCTTTCCCAAAGTTAAAGTGACAAAGAAGGGAAAAACATCTGGCTTAGAGCCCATTTAGATGACGTATACAAAAACAGCTTTAAAACACAAACAAGAAATAACAACAAAAATACCCAACACTATTAAAACAGAGAAAAGCCCAAAATATCAGTTAAAAATAACACCAATCTGCTAGATTTGACAATACTTTAAAAAAGAAAAAGAAAAACACGCAGTTAAGCACAAATCTCATATTTTTAAAAAATAGAATCTGTCTAAACAAATACACAGAATAAGCACTGGAGTCTGCCTAGTTCTGCCCATTTTCTGTGCTGTGTAAGCTGACTGGCCGGTTAGTGGTTTCTCCACAGTATTAAAAGACAGAGAGAGAGTTGCTAGCACTGGTTCGGAAGGCAGAGTCTGCAGAAAACATCCAGTGAGTGCGGTTAGAGGTATCAGTCGAGTCATAGGATTAATTAACTTTCACAATTCAAAATGCAGCAGGCAAGCTGCAAGTCCAAACTTCTCTGTGAGCAGGAATGATGCCTGGCCCACTACAGAGAAAATTCTGGGTGGACAACAGCAAACTCTGGATCCTTCAGAGAAATCCTAGGTTGAAAGAGAAACAAGGGCATGAAGCACATTTAGAAATACTTCTTTTTGCAAACATTCTACTTAAAAGCTAGAGAAACTATACTTAATATTTTCTATAAACTGAGGACTAAAAGTTTAATTGAGAATTGATGAATTTCTACCAAGTAATCTTCAGTTTGTCCAAATGCTCTAATCTCAGTTCATTACGTCATCTTTTTTTTTTCAAGCACAGCTTACATTCAATACTATTCCACATCAATTTCAGGTGCACAGCAAAGTGGCCAGAAAACCATGCACTCAACACAGTGGTGTATCCCTCATCGCCAACCCCCGCCCCAAGCACCCAATTATCTGACATTATTAACCATACTCCCCATGTTGACAATCCACATCTCTGTGGCTATTCTGCAACTACCAATTTGTACTGCTTAATTACTTCACCCAGACCCCCAAACCACACCCCTGACAGCTGTCAGTCTGTTCCTTGTATCTATGAGTCTGTTTATATTTTGTTGGTTTATTTTGTTCATTAGATTCCACATATAAGTGAAATCATATGGTATTTGTCTTCTCTGATGGACTTATTTTCATAATACCCTCTAGGTCCATCCATGCTGTCACAAAAGGTAAGAGTTCACGGCCAAGCCCTGGCCGGTTTGGCTCAGCGGTTAGAGCATCCGCCTGCGGTCTGGAGAGACCCGGGTTCGGTTCCCGCTAAGGGCACGTACCTCGGTTGCAGTTTGTCCCCGGCCCTGGTTGGTCGTGCGGGTGGCAGCCACTCGATGTGTCCCTTTCACATCGATGTTTCCCTCTCTCTCTCTTCCTCTCTCTCCCTCCCACTCTATCTGTACAAAAAATGGAAAAATGTCCTCGGATGAGGATTAAAAAAAAAAAAAAAGAGTTCACGGCCAAGTAATATTCCATTGTGTAAATGTACTATAGCTTTTTTATCCACTCATCTACTGATGGGCACTTGGGCTGCTTCCAAATCTTGGCTATTGTAAATAACGCTACAGTGAACATGTGCCCTGACCAATAATCAAACTGGTGATCTCTTGGTGCATGGGTTAACACTCAACCACCGAGCCACACCAACTGGGATGAAAACACATCATCTTAAAGGCAACAACAGCTACCACTTTATTAATTGCCTATTTTGCGCCAAGCACTGCTCTGAGTTCTTTATGTACATTACCTCATTTATCCTCCCAACCACCTGTGCATGAGGTGATGCACTTACCTTTCTGATGAACAGTCTGAAGCCTACACAAGTTAATTTGCCCCAAGATTTATAAAGCTATTAAGCAGCAAAGCTGAAGACAGAGCCCAAGCCTAACTGAGTGCAGAGCTCAGGTTCTTACAACCTGCAGCGGAAGCCTCGACAGTTTTTTTCTTTTTGTAATGCAAGTGCCTGGTTAAGCTTTAATTGCTGAGGCATCCATTTCAAAGAAACCTCCACTTCAAAGATAGCTATCTCCAGCCCTGGCTGGTGTAACTCAGTTGGTTGAGCATCCTTCTGTGCACCAAAGGCTGCCAATTAGATTCTCCATCAGGGCACATGCCCACACTGCCTGCAGGAGGCGGCCGACAGATGTTGCCCTCTTGCGTGCTCACATTGATGTTTCTCTATTCTCCCTTCCTGACACTCTAAAAATCAATAAACTATTCTTAAATAAATAACAAAGACAGCTATGTCCAATAAACACATGGCCAGCCAGCCATACTGACTAGATAAAGAGCTAGGCCACCTCCCCATTGAGGTTCCTATACTTTAGAGAACTTGGTAGATTTCAATAATTGACCATTTGGCCACTTGATTTTTTCTCTTCTCACACTTCAAATTCCATTCTTGTTTTGAATTCACCAGTAAAGAGTGAGCCCACAAAACCCTAGGCCCCAATAAAAGCAGAACCCTAGACCAGTGCACTCCTTCTCTACCTATGACCTCGCTGTGAGGCCCCAGGCGGGCTAATTTCCAGGTCTTGTAAGTAATAAACCTTTCAATTTTTTTTCAAAAATTCCTGATGGTTATTCCTGAAGGGCATCTTGCAATCATAATAAGAACCACAATGGCCAATCCAACCACAACATTGGTTACTGATAGGCTGAGATCAGTACAAAACACCATCACGCCCTGGCCTGTTTGGCTCAGCGGTAGAGCATTGACTCACAGACCAAAGAGCGGTAGAGCGTCAGCCTCTAACTGCTGAGCCAAACCGGCCAGGGCTGGGCCAGTTTTCTTTAGTAACAATTATGACCACTTGTTTATGCTTTAATAATCACAATGTGGCCCTGGCCGGTTTGGCTCAGCAGAGTGTCGGCCTGCGGTCCGGAGACACCCAGGTTCCGTTCCCGCTAAGGGCACGTACCTTGGTTGCAGTTTGTCCCTGGCCCTGATTGGGTCATGTGGGAGGCAGCCACTCGATGTATCTCTTTCACGTTGGTGTTTCTCTCTCTCTCTCCCTCCCACTCTATCTGAACAAAAGAAAAAAAAAAAAGGAAAAATGTCCTCAGGTGAGGATTAAAAAAAAAATCACAATGTGCTTCCAAAACATTTGTTAGATTGAGTCTCGTAAGAAATCTCTGAAGTAGATATAACATCCTCATTTTCAGAGGAGGAAACTTGGAATCAGAGAGAATGAATGGTTTTCCCAGGCCAGAGGAATGATGACTCAAATCAGGTCTCAGGTCTAACTACAAATCCCCTGGTCTTTCCAATAAAACACATGGCTTCTTCAGAGGAAAGCACAGTAGCCACTGCCTTTCACCAGAAAAGCCTGGGCAACCAGCAGGCCCAGCCTAAATAATCCTCTTTGTTCTAAACCTCAAAAACATCTTGTATGAGATTTCCAGGGTCCTTCAGCATGCACTGTCTATCTGGAGAGCTTCACTGAAGAAACAAAGCTGAAGACTACAATAAAAAGGAGCATAACTATTCCATGTTCACTGAGCATATTCTCAGGGTTTCTGTACTTGGTTTCACGAATTAGTTTAACACTTGTTTTTTATTTGCTTAACAAGTACTCTGAAGGTATTTTACACATGTCCCATCTGTCCAAGAACGCAGGGACCAGGTGGGTCTGTATTCACAGCTCCACCCTCAGCACCTGGGACAGTGCTGAGTAGATGCTCAATAACCATCTGCTTAATGAACTCAAGGGCAAGGACCCAGCCTTGTAATTTTTACATCACTTCTAACTACAACTATACTACACTAGGAATTTTTGAAATGCTGCTGACTGACTAGATACAGAAAGGAACTACACTTAATAAGAACACAGAATAAATACAGTGAATACCTTTTTTCCCCTCTTTCTTCCCATCACACCATTTCAGTCTTGTTGGTGTCACTGTGTCAGCTGGAGATCCAGAAAATAACTGTAACAAGAAATTTTTATAGTGGCTTAAATATTCTATGCCATTCTTATAGCCAGACTTTACTAATAGAGAAATTGTCTACTGGTTCAATTTCAATGTGAAAAGTTTCACTGACATATTTATATCTCATTCATTTTAACTGGTTTTCTTGCTGGCTAATGAAGTAACCATGCCTGGGATACCTTGAAGGACTCCTCCACGGGTAATGCAGTGCCAGGGAGCCTGGCTCAAACACTACCCACCCTGTGGAGTTTCCTAGAGAGAAGTACTCCCTCCAACACTATGTTCCTGTATGTATCTCACTGTATTTGTCTTCTCTGCTTATGACTGGCTACATCTTCCTTGAATTCAAAATGTGTTTGTTGAAGGAATCAATGAAAACCTACAGAAAGATGACAGTCAGCATAAATGAAAGGACTGAAAAAAGGCACAGTTTACTGAGAAACATAGTCAAACAGAAAACAGATGACAGTATATCAATTTTCCTCCTTTCTACAAATGTACACATACAAAAAGAAAGTACAAAGTACAGTATCTTAGTGTTTCTCTCCCCCCTCCTCCCTTCTTCCCTTCCACTCTCTCTAAAAACCAATAGAAAAAAATGTCCTCAGGTGAGGACTAACAACAACAACAAAAGAACAGTATCTTACTAAGTTCATATTTTCTTTGCTGGCTCTCTTCAATTCACCAATGGCTAGAGCTTCCGGAGTAGGGGCCTTGTTCTTCTTTTCTGACATCATCTGATTTCCCAGGACCTTCCGCTGATTTAAAGAGAAAATATCTGATTTATAAACATCTGCAATGTCTATATTATAGCTATTCTCGCCTTCAAAACTACAGTTCCTTAGGTTAAGAAAATCTCAGCTTTCTGATAAATTCTCCCAAGCCATCTTATACAAGGGAAGCCAAACTATGTTACAAAAAAGAAAACACTGAAATCATTGCCTTCTTTAAGTAATCACTTTTCTTCTACATTAAAAAGGGCTGCAATGTTAGAAGAACTTTACAGTTTATTTAAACTCACTAATACAGGCAGTGTGCTTCTGAGGCCATAAAAGAAAGGCCAGCCCTGGCCGGTTTGGCTCAGCGGTTAGAGCGTCGGCCTGCGGTCCCGAGAGGCCCGGGTTCGGTTCCCGCTAAGGGCATGTACCTCGGTTGCAGTTTGGTCGTGCGGGTGGCAGCCACTCAATGTGTCCCTTTCACATCGATGTGTCCCTTTCACATCGATGTTTCCCTCTCTCTCTCTTCCTCTCCCTCCCACTCTATCTGAACAAAAAATGTCCTTGGGTGAGGATAAAAAAAAAAAAAGAAAGGCCAGTTACTTCCTTGTATAACTTTTCCCCAAAGGCATATTATCTCTGGCAGTTCTTAAGAGTCCCCTCCTGCCCTCCCAACTAGAGAATACTTACTCTGGGTCCACTCTAAGACTTTACTTTCTTGTCATATCCTCACACAGGATTGGAAAATACGGAAAAATTCTAAAAGAGTTTCTAATCACAAGAGGATACAGGCCTTCTTAAGAGGGTCACATGACTATACCAACATTCAGAGCAAGACTAAAAGTCCTTCCATCTCTGAACAGCTTAGAAGCTGATATAACCTAATGTAACAGCTGACACTGACAATTCCACAATCTTTGGAGAAATCTTTTTTTCTTCTTAGAGAATAAATTTGAATTTCAAAAAAAGAACATATGAAAACTACAACATTAAACTCTACAATATAAACATTGCCACACCCTGCCAGTGTTAATCAATGGTTAGAGCATAGGCCCACCGACCAAAGGGTCAGGGGTTCAATTCCTGGTCAAGGGCATGTCCCTGGGTTATAGGTTCAATCCCCGGCCCAGTCGGGGTATGTGCAGGAGGTAACCAATCGATGTGTCTCTCTCACATCAATGTTTCTCCTCTCTCTCTCTCCCTCTCTCTTTCCCCCCTCCCTTCCACTCTCTCTAAAAATCAATAAAAAAAATATTCTCAGGTGAAGATTAACAACAAAAATAGTAATAATAAAAATATATTACCAGCAATATTCAGAATATTATGATGTGATAAACTATTTACATGAGAGAAATTTTAGAGGAAAAAACTCTAGCCAAAAAAAAAAAAAAGCCCAGCTGGTATGGTTCAGTGGGGCACATGCCCAGGTTGTGGGCCAAATCCCCAGTGGGGGGCATGTAGGAGGCAGTCAATCAATGTTCTCTCTCACCAATGTTTCTATCTCTCTTGCCCTCTCCTTTCCTTCCTTCCTCTCTCTCTAAAATCAATAAAAAATAAATAAAAAATAAAAAAGAATCAAAGCAGGACACAAATCAAATAGCTAAAACATGGAAATGTTTGAATGATTTTCTTTCAAAAGTCAGATATCATCTCAAAGTACAATGAATTTGCGAGGCCAAGAGCCAAAGGACCAGTTGTAAAGCCTAAAATGAGTTTTTTAAAAGACATTTCATTACTCTATTGCTATTGAGCCGAAACCTACATCTATTAGAAGCTCAAAAGTCTTTTCATTTATAATGAAAATACTTTTTTTTTTATCCTCACCCAAGGACATTTTTCCATTTTTTGTTCAGATAGAGTGGGGGGTGGGGGGAGAGAAACATCGACGTGAAAGGGGCTGATGGAGTGGCCGCCCACCCACACAACCCAATCAGGGCCAGGGACAAACTGCAACCGAGGTACGTGCCCTTAGTGGGAATTGAACCCGTGTCTCTCAGGACCACAGGCTGACGCTCTAACCACTGAGCGAAACTGGCCAGAGCTAAAATAATTTTAAAAAGAAAAACAACAGAATACAGAATAGTGCTAATCTCACTCCAAGTTAACCAGAACCTTGCCTTAATTTAGGTATGCCTGGAAATTTGAACCCAATAATCAAGCTATCTACTGCCACCTGATGACAATATCCTCTAACTACAAGTTCAGATCGCCCACAAAGACTGGTAAATTGAATCTGCAAACAGTGATGGCAGCAGCAGCACTGAAGTATGTATTGTATTTGTTTCAAATACAAGATTTGTAATGAATTTGATACAAAGAAAGAGAATACAACTAATCAAATACTAAGCCCATAAAAATTTGAGTTACCTAAAACTCACAAAATCTATTTCCTAGCAATTTTCCTAGTCTCTGTCAACCTTCTCACTTCTCTATAACTTCAGCAAATTGTATAATGAAATGTATAGCACAAAGCAGGTCATGAAGCAAAAGAGACTTTACACAACTCAAGAATAAGGACTCTGTCCTCAACCCCAGAAGAAAAGGATGGGATTTTATTTCTTTTAAAAAAATATGTTATTGATTTTTTTAGAGAGAGAGATAAAAATATCAATATGACAGAAAAACACTGATCGGCTGTCTCCTGCACACCCCCTACTGGGGATCAAGCCCACAACCTGGGCATGTGCCCTGACCAGGAGTTGAACCAGTGACCTCTTGGTGCATGGGTCAACGCTCAATCCACTGAGCCACACCAGCCAGACCCCTTTAACTCTTTTATTCCTCACTTCTCCAATCAGAGCCTCTTCTCTGATTTGAAGCACAGCAAAATGCTTTCAAAAATAAAATCTTTCCAAATTCTATCTGTATCCCCTTACAAATAAGCCCTTTATAGGCTCCCAAAGAATAGAAGAAAACTGTTTATGCATAAGAACAATCCAACTGTTCAATTTTCTCACAGTCATTGCGAAACTGACAGCACAGCATACCTACCTTAATAAGGCCGCTGAAGGAACGGGAACGGGCCCTCTTCTGTACCCGGGGAGTAGAAGGTTCTTGCCCTGGTGTTTGGGTCACAGATTGCTTATTAAACTAAAAGAAAACATAGAGAACATTTTGTTAATATTCTCCCATCAAGAAATAGCATGCTGTGCCCTGGCCAGTTTGGCTCAGCAGTTAAGCATCGGCCTGCGGACCAGAGAGTCCCTGGTTTGGTTCCCGCTAGGGGCACGTACTATAATAAATAAAGTGCTTGCAACACATACTGACTGAATTACTTTTTAAAAAATAAAATAAATAAAAATAAAAAAAGAGATAGCATGCTGTGACAACCATATGAATAGCTAAGTGTAAATACCGAGAAAAGTACAGGAATAAGTGACTCTATGTAATACAGATTAGCAAGTAAGGTGGTAAGCAAATCACAAAGGCAGAATTGGTGCTGCCAAAAAAGCAAGTCCAAATTTATTAAATTAGTCTGAGGGTTAATTAAATCAAATAGTGCACACCAAAAAAATCGAATTGGAATCAGAAAAAAATTTGAAATACACACTCATAAAAAGAAACTCTAGAAGAAAATGAAAATGTTATCAGTGGTTAACTCTGGATTATAAGTAGTTTCTATTTTCTTCTTTTTTTTTTAATCCTCCCCAAAGGATTTTTTTTTTTTTAAAGAGAGAGGGGAGCCCTGGCCGGTTTGGCTCAGCGGTTAGAGTGTTGGCCCGTGGACCAGAGTGTCCCAGTTCGGTTCCTGATAAGGGCATGTACCTCAGATGCAGTCTGTCCATGGCCCGGGTTGGGGTCGTGTGGGTGGCAACCACTCTATGTGTCCCTCATGTTGATGTTTCTCTCTCTCTCCCTCCCTCTCTCCTCCCGCTCTATATAAAGACAGATGCAAAAAATGTCCTTGGATGAGGATAAAAAAAAGAGAGAGAGAGGGGAGAAACATGTACGTGAGAAAGAAATATCAATTGGTTACCTCCTGCATGCCCTGACCAAGACCAGGAATGGAACCCACAACCTTTCAGGGTATGGAACAACACTCTAACCAACTCATACTGGCAGGGAGAAATGGCAGTATTTTAAATATAGGCAAGGAGTTTGCAGTTATGCATAAGAAAATGCTTATGCTGTAATACTTGGTGAAAAGAGAGCGATAAAAGAAAGTACATGGTATGATCAAACAATAAAAAACGACATCCATACAAAAAGACTGAAAGAAATAGCCAAAATGTAAACACTGGTGAGATGAGTGATTTTATTTTCTTCTTATCCTTCTCTATAATTTCCTACTTTTCTAAAAAAATAAATAAATAAAAGAACAAAAAAAATGTTAAGAGTTTTCCTGCCCTGGCCAGTTTGGCTCAGCGGTTGGAGCGTCGGCCTGTGGTCCAGAGAGACCCGGGTTCAGTTTCCGCTAAGGGCACGAACCTCAGTTGCAGTTTGTCCCCAGCCCTGGTTGGGTCATGCGGGTGGCAACCACTTGATGTGTCCCTTTCACGTCGATGTTTCTCTCTCTCTCTCTCCCTCCCACTCTATCTGAACAAAATATCGAAAGATGTCCTCGGGTAAGAATAAAAAAAAAAAAGTTTTCCTTTGTATTACATTTAACCCTCAGTGTTCTTGATAAGTCACTACACTTATCCTACCTGAATTGCTATCTTAGTCTCTATCAAGAATCAAATCACTACACTGCTTTGAATCGGTAATAATACTCAGCTAACACCCTCTAAAATTCTAGTCAAATAACAATTTGCTAGATATCAAAGTAACTTCAAAGAGAGTGAGTGACAGAAAACTTCTCTTAAAGGACTCTGTCAATTATTAAGAACAGCTCAGCCCTGGCAGGTTTGGCTAAGTGATTGGCGTGTCAGCCCACAGACCAAGGAGTCCCGGGTTCGATTCCAGACAAGGGCACATGCCTCGGGTTGCGGTTGGTCCCCGGCCCTGGTTGGGGGTCGTGCGGGTGGCAGCCAATCGATGTGTCTCTCTCACATCGATGTTTTTCTCTCTCTCTTCCTCCTTCTCTCCCTCCTGCTCTATCTGAAGATAAATGTAAAAATATCCTTGGGTGAGGATAAAAAAAGAACAGCTCAGTTCAACATTTTCTGAGCACCTGTTTATATCTGGCCCTATGCTTGAGATTAGGTATAAAAAAAATTACTTGAACACAGACTCTTCCCTCAAGAAGGTCTCAGTTGAATAAGAAGTCAAGAGACTGACCTTGCCTGTTCAGGTAAAATTCGAGAGAGTCTGAGACAAAAGAAATTTCCTGAGAAAGAAACTAACCAAGTCATCAGATTTACTCAAGCTACACTTTGAGTCTCAAAATGGCAAATGAGAGAACTCCCATAGCTCCAAAATAAATAAACTTAGTCACTAGAATTCCTACTTCTAATATCAGACAAGGCCCTTGGCTAACGGTGTTTTTTAACTGCAAACAACTCACTAAGAGATACCACTTTTGCTCTGCTCTGTCAACCACTTTATATAGATTCTCTCTGATCTTTATAACATGGGCATTACAATTACCATTTTACAAAAAGAAAATTGAAATTCAGAAAGGTTAAGCTATTTGCCAAAAAAATATAAAGGGTTTAAACTTTGAAATAATATATTGTAACTGCTGGTTCTCTTTCAGCAATCTATGATCAAATTAGAGAAACTCTAACCACACTTGGACCCTTCTGTTTAACTAGAAAAATTCAAAAGCCTCCTCTCTTTTCTCAAATGGGGCAGTAGTACAGAGATTGCATAGGTTCCACACACAAGTTTGCTTTCATGGCTGAGCCAAAACTTGGGCCTATAAGAGCCAAAAATTAAATGAGATTCTTAACAATATTCCCTAGTGATTCTACAACCATGATCACATGTATTACTAAAGCCATGTCACTGTTTCCCTGCTTTGGGGCACCTGTCTGATAAGCTGTTTCTTCTTTGCTGACTCTGGCATGTTGTGAACGTGCTGGAACAGCTCTCTCAGTGCCTCGTCCGTACGCTGCTGGGTCTCCTCCTGATGTGAGCAGGAATCCATCCAGTTCCGTTTCTGAGATTTTGCCAGTTGGGAGGACTTAGAATGACATGAAGCCATCAGATCAAGATCATCCTAGAGAAAATTAAAAGAAAAGTAAATTAATATATCCTACCAGGTTTGTTTTTAGGTTCCTACAACCCTGGAGCAAAAAGAAAAGTGGGGAGGTAGGAAACATGGTATATTCTTACATCTGGGAACAATGAAAGTCTAAAAACTATTATCAGATAAAAAGATACCTATAATTACAGAATACATATATATTTTTTTAATGTATAGCTTTTTATTGATTTTAGAGAGAAAAAGGAAGAGGGGGAAGGAGAGGGAGAGGGGGGGTGACAGAGAGAGGGAGCAAGAAAGAGAGAGACAGAGAGAGAGAGAGACTTGTTCTACTTACTTATGCATTCATTGGTCGATTCTTGTATGTACCCTGACCTGAGATCGAATCCTCAACCTTGGTGTTATTAGGATGATTTTCTAACCCACTGAGCTCAATAATCACATGTAATCTTGTTAATAAACAGCATACATTTACTTTCTAAGCTCATGTGGTCTCAAGTCTTTTAGCTATTTGATAGAGTGCTTGTTACCTTACTACTAAACCTAAAATAAGACTGTATGACACAATGTTGTACTTTTATTACCATAAAATAGTTCATACATTTGCTATTTACAGACTGTTTATACCAAATGCTAGAAGAATGCAGATGGGCCTTGTGAAAACCTTTAAACACACAATCTATGCCATCAGTGGATCACCTCAAAAAGCAGATTGTGTGTAAGGCAATTTTTATTTCAACATATAACTTTCTTCTCAGTCTTTCTTGTTATCTCAAAATGACTACATAATTTTGAACTACAATAAAAACATTTTATTTTCCATGGCTTTACTTTGATTTCATACTTTGTTTTAAAACCCCACTAATTTTGCCCTGGCCAGTTTGGTTCAGCAGTTGGAGCGTCGGCCTGCGGACCAGAGTCCCGGGTTTGGTTCCCGCTAAGGACACATACCTCGGTTGCAGTTTGCTCCGGCCCCAGTTGGCGTCCTGTGGGTGGCAACCAGTTGATGTGTCTCTCTCACATCGATATTTCTCTCTCTCTTCCCCCCTCTCTCCCTCTTGCTCTATCTGAAGATAAATGTTTAAAAAATGTCCTCAGGGGAGGATAAAAATAAATTAAAAAATTAAACTCCACTAATTTTGCCCAGCTGGTGTGGCTCAGTGGATTGAGCATTGTCCTCTGGACTGAGAGGTCCCAGTTCAATTCCCAGTCAAGGCACATGCACCGGTTTTGGGCTCCATTCCCAGTAGGGGGCATGCAGGAGGCAGCCAATTGATGCATCTCTCTCACATCAATGTTTCTATCTCTCTCTCTAAAAAAAATCAATAAAAGCATATTTTTAAAAACTGAAAATAAAAATAAAGCTCCATTAATTTTAATGAATGCTCTCCTTGTTTTGGCTAAGAGCAATTTCCTATTCTTACCTTTGATGCTTGAGTTCTGGAGCCCAAATAGTGAGATCTGGCACATTCCCGAATGTAAGCAGGGGCCTAGGCAGGTTATAAAAGAAAACCAAGACCAAATAATTAACAGTATCTAAAATTCTTTTAAGACTCAAGGACAGTGGTTATCAAAATAATTTGACTGGCAGATTACTTTGGAAAAACAAAAAAAATTTCAAAATGCCCTATTTGCCCTAGCCAGTGTGACTCAGTGGTTAGAGGACTGGACCACACACTGAAAAACTTGGGTTCAATTCCTCAACAAAGGCACATACCTGGATTGTAGGTTCGATCCCCAGCCCTGGTCAGGGGCATGCAGGAGGCAACCAATCGATGTGTCTCACATCAATATTTCTCTCTCTCTCACCCTGTGTTCCCCCCTTCTACTTTCTAAAAATCAATGTTAAAAAAGTATCTTGGGTAAGGATTAATAAAAAAATAATAATAATTTTTTAAATACCCTATTTTATAGCTTCCACCAAAAAGATAATCTCAACAAATCTGATAGGAAAACTGTGAAAAGACACCACTGTAGCTGTTCCTGTTCAAAGAATCCAAATATGGCATGAATACATTCAAATGAGCCAGAAACAAAAGTACAGATACTTGTAGTAATGCTTACTTGCAGGTTTGATCCCTGGCCCTGGTCGGGGTTGCGTGGGAGGCAACTAACTGATGTGTCTCTCACATTGATGTTTCTCTCTCCCTCTCTCTCCCTCCCTCCACTCCTCCCTCCCATCCTACCTGAAGATAAATGAAAAAAAATACATCCTCGAGTGAGGATTAAAAAATAAATAAACTAAAAGTAATAATAATCAAAAGTAATACATAAACTTGAATTGGCTTGTTTGTTAGAGCATTGGCCCACGAGCCAAAGGGTCGCAGGTTTGATTTCCGGTCAAGGGCACGTACCTGGGTTGCAGGTTCAATCACCAGTACCAGTTGGGGCACATTCAGGAAGCAACCAATCAACATGTCTAACATCAGTGTTTCTTTTTCTTTCTCTCTCTTTCCCCCTGCTCCCCCACTCTTCCACTCTCTCTAAAAATCAATGGAAAAATATCCTTGGTGAGGATTAACAAAAAAGTAAAATATAAATATGTAGAGATAAAGCCGAACATTTGCTGAATCTGAGGGAGAGTTATATGAATGTTTACTGTTTTACTCTTTGTGCTTTTCTCTATATTTGAAAAAGTTTATAATAAAGTTGTTTGAAAATATCTTGTGACAGACATTATGATATCTACGAGTTTAATTTTTAACTTGAACAACTATAAAACAAAGATAAAGACCAAAAGTAATTTCCTCCAAACAGGAATAGGATAGAATCTACACCATCTATTCTTATAAAGTTTAAAAACAGACAAAAACTCTGCCCTAAAAAGATAATGTAACTGAAGGGATATCCAGAAAAGGAGCCAAAGACAGACTAGTTTAAATGAAAATGGAGGTGTTAAGTACTTTACAATTCACAGGAAACTAAAAGATTTCCCAAATAAAATGAAAACTGGCCTTCACTGGAAATCCATAAAAAAAGATGTGGTGACTCATGGTGGAGAGAGATAAAATCAGACTGGGTCACACAACAGAGGATAGGACTACAAAAAGTTAAGAAGAATTTTAGGAAAATGGTAGAGCAGGAAAAAAAATACAAAGAACACAGAATGAGGCACAACACAGGATAGGAGGATTAAAGAGGTAAAAAATCCACACCAAGAAGCCTGAGAACAAGAAGACACACAAAGCACAAGAACAAATATGAAGTAAAACAGGACCCCAGAGTAAGTGACAAAGCACACAGAACCACCAACCATTTTTTATCCAGGGGTAAAGCTCAGAGAAGAACATAATCAGCCAAAGCGGTAAAGCAGGTGCCCACAAGGATATCAGTTCTGACACAAATTGAAAGAGAAGAGACCTAAGGCCAAAATAAATCTCCAAAACCTTTTGTTCCCTCCTTTAGTGAGCAACAAAGGCTCAAAAATTGCTCACACTAGCCTGGAAACAAAGATAAAGTAGCAAACAAGAATCAAAACCTCAAGGATGAGAAGCTGAAAGAGGGAGCCATAGAAGAGAAGAAAAATAGAGTAAAAACAGAGTATTTGAAAGAGTCTAATTATTAGAATGTGTACCAAGCTAAATTACATCTAGAAGACTGTACTCTGGTTTTGTTTTGTTTTTTGGTGGTACATGCCCCTAGCAGGAACCAAACCCGGGACTCTCTGGTCCACAGGCGGACGCTCAACCGCTGAGCCAAACTGGCCAGGGCCTGTACTCTGGTTTTATCTCTAAGGTTTGTATGATCTATACTCTCAAAACCCTCCACAGTGATTCGTTGTCTTACATGGTGAGAAAGGACTTTGCTGGTGTGATTAAGTCAAGGACCTTGCAGTGGAAAACCTATCCTAGGTTATCAAGGTGGGTCCAATATAATCACAAGGGCCTTTAAAAGTAGAGACCCCTCAAAAATAATAATAATAATAAAATTTAAAAATTAAAAAAAAACTTGCCCTGGCCAGTTTGGCTCAGCAGTAGAGCAATGGCCTGCGTACCAATGAGTCGTGGGTTCCATTCCAGCCAAGGGCACGTACCTCGGTTGTGGTTTGTTCCCGGCTCTGGTCTGGGTGGTATGTTGATGTTTCTCTCCCTCTCCCTTTCTCTCCCTCTCTCTCCCTCCTACTGTATCTGAAGATAAATGGAAAAATATCCTAGAGGGAGGATTAAAAAAAAAGTAGAGACCCTTTCCTACCTGTGGTCAGATGGAAATGTGACTAGGAAGAATGGTAGAGAGATACAACACTGATAGCCCTGAAGACAGAGGAAGGGGACCATGAGGCGGGGAATGTGGACAGCCTCCATAGCAGCGCGACCCCTTTGGGGGTTGAACAACCCTTTCACAGGGGTCACCTAAGACATAATGGTAGCAAAGTTACAGTTATGAAGTAGCAACAAATAATTTTATGGTTGGGGGTCACCACAACATGAGGAGCTGTATTAAAGTGTTACGGCATTAAGAAGGTTGAGAACCACTGCTCTAGAGGGTGGACAAGGCAAGGAAGCAGTCTATCCAGAACCAGAAAGGAATGCAGCCCTGCCAACACCTTGATTTCAGTCCAGTGAGACTCATGTCAGACTTCTAGAGAACCATTATAATAATAAATCTGTGTTGTTTTAAGTCACTTAAAAAATCCAGTAAAGTATAAGTATATAGTTTCAGTTTTGCAAAATGAAGAATTCTGGAGATGGAGGGTAGTGATCATTGCACGACAATATGTATATAATTTGTATACAAAAAAAGGAGTTCTATGAGAGTAACCTCACAGTGATCTGATCATAAATTCCTATCCATTATTCTTGTGCATCTAGGTTAACACACCTTTGAAATACCCAATGTAATACCCCTTTAGGTGGTACAAACCCTCAAGAAAGCATATAATCTTGTTAACTATCATGTAATCCAATCCCCGCTTTGCTTTTCCCCCACCTCCATGTAATCTTCCTTACTTCCCCTCCTTAATTTCAAAGGTACAAAAGAAGCTGCAAAAGAGTTATTCTCTGGAGCATTAGAGATCTTGTTCCCCAGCATATGTCTTCAGTCTGATTCACATAATCTCATGCCCCGGCTGGTCTGGCTCAGCAGTGAGATGGGACCAAAGGGTCACAGGTTCAATTCCCAGTCAAGGGCAAGTACCTGGGTTACAGGTTCAATCCCCAGCCCCCATTAGGGTCATGTGGGAGTCAATAAATCCACGTGTCTCTCTCACATCTCTCTCTCCCCCTCCCCCCCACCCTCCTTCCTTTCCTTCCACTCTATCTAAAAATCAATGGAAAAATATCCTCAGGTGAAGATTAACAAAATAAATAAATAAACTCATAAAAATTCTCTGCAGATTTGGACACTTCTTACATCAACAAATTAATGCCACTGAACACAGTCAAGGTAAAATCTGTCATGTGTATTTTAACAGTTTAAAAAAACGGAAGAAAGAAAAAAAACAACAGAACTGGACAGTCTTAAAAATTCTCAGCCTTGTCCAGCTAGTGTGGCTCAATGTTTGAGCGTCGTCCCATGCACCAATAAGTTGCCAGTTCGATTCCTGGGTCAAGACACATGCCCCAGTGGGGGGTGTACAGTAGGCAGCCAATCGATGTTTCTCTCACTGATGTTTCTAACTCTCTCTCCCTTACCCTTCCTCTCTCTCTAAAAAATCAATAAAAACATACTTTAAAAAAAAATTCTCAGCCTTTCCAAATGACGAAAGATGCTAGAGCTAAGAAATGCATGCCCCACCGGTGTGGCTCGGTGGTTGAGCATTGACCCATATGTTGTGGCCCAAATCCCAGTGGGGAGGCATGCAGGAGGAGGCCGACTGATGTTTCCATCTCTCTCCCTCTCCTTTCCTTTCTCTCTAAAATCAATAAAGAAAAAAAAATTTTTTTTTAATATAAAGGAAGAAATTCACCATCAGAAAAGTGCTCTAAAGAAAACACCAAGGCCCTGGCCAGTTTGGCTCAGCGACTGGAGCGTCGGCCTGTGGACAACAACAGAGTTCCGGGTTCAGTTCCTGCTAGGGGCACGTACCAAAAAAAAAAAGGATGTGATTGCAACCTTTATAAAAGATCAGAATATTCATTCCTACAAAGGGCCCTTTCAAGCGGAGTAAAGGTGTGCCTCACAGATCCTCTCAATCAAACCAGTGGGCCTCTGGGAAGCTTAAAGATAATGTCCCTCAGCCTTCTCAGCAGGAGAGCAAGTAGAGAAGGGTTTATCTTCAAAAGATTTGCATATGTGGCTTCTGTCTAATGGAGTGAATCCCACTGAAATCCACAGACGACTCACAAAGGTCTTAAGAAAACTGCTGGCAGAAACACTGCTAGTTTAGACTAAAAGGGGCAGAGAGTACAAAATGAAAGAGGGCTATCAGACCCTCAAAATTCTACTGGCAGGAAGCAGGCAGGATAAAACTACTCAGTGGCCAACATATGCTGCTTTTCATGAAAAAGGAAGGATGACTCAGAGGGTGAAGCCAATTATCCGGAGGCAGAGCCCTCCTCAGCCTGCAGTACCTTCCTATCCTCCCCACCTTGGTTGTTCCCTCCCGTTTTGCCACTGTCTGATCTGCTTTCCACTCCCAGGGCCTTTCTTATCTAGTTGTCATCATCTTTACAGCCCTCCTGAGGATCCCACCTTGCTCCACCTTCCTTGTCTGTTACCCACCCAATCCCATTACCTACCTTAAAAAGTTTCTGGGAGTGTTTAATCATAAAAGCCATCCCACTGTTTAACTTTGTGATATTCTCTTGAAGGTCATTTGCAGTAACCTATTCAGAGAAAAAGAAACCAAAAAAGGGGGATTAAGAACTGAGAAAGAGAAGACAGATACTCTACTTACTTACCAATAAGCTTATTCTTTCAAAGGTATGATAGTTTCTGTCCCTAACAAAGGTGCCTCTAATACAATGTTTAATTCTGAAAAAGCTTTTGGTTCAGCATATTTCCACTGACCAGGAAATCCTTGAGAACCAATCTTCATTTCCTAATTCTGTTTGAGAATTGACATGCAAGCAGAGTTACTAAAGAAGATCTAGTCTGGGACAACGGTCCGGAAGAACAGAATCTGTACAGACCACCACCGACACTGCCTCTTTAGAGAAAGGAGTTTCTCCAGAGACAAAAGAGAACTGTCACTACTAATTGATACCAAGGTGGCATCTGTTTCTTAAATACACAGTCAAATGGCCACTGATTCCCTTCTCTTGTTTCTCTGCCTCTTTTTTAAGCACTTCAGCATCTCTACTATCCCAAAGTCCTCATCTTCAACGTGTATCTTTATTATTTAATTTTTGCTTTTAGCAAGACCTCTTAAATACTTCTCTTTATAGGCACAGATTACTCCTTTTTCACAGTCTCAGCTGGTTCTAAAATCCTTAATATGGACAAATGCTGCTGTGTCCTTTTCTTCTCATCCCCCAACCATCCTCCTACCCTCATCCCCATCCCCACAAACCTTCCTGGCCCAGAATTTTATATTATTTCTTTCACTAGTTACTTGTTAAGTAAAATGTAACACATAATCTAATCTCTCCTTTATCTTCCTTTTCTCATTTCTTATATCCCCAAAATCTTTCCAACTACCTTGTCAGATAAGTGGGAAAGGCACCATTATGACCAGTTTACAGAGGAGGAACCTAAGCACAAAAAGGGTAAAGAATGCCGGTCACAGCTGGTTTACAGCTTCCGACGCAGGTATCCTGCCTCCCAATTCCATCATACAGTAAAACCTATACGAATGGACAGGAATATGAACCTATATACCTCCAGCTCAAGAATGAGTTTAAAAGATAATTTATTTCTCATGCAAGTCAATGAGAAGGCCATGTTCTCAGTAATAAGAAACACATTCAGCTTTAACTAAGGACAGAATATCTAGAGGAAATAGAAAAGTTAGGACAAGGCAGGATTATTCTATGTATCATCTTATCTAAAAGCTGAGTGACATTATCCTGTAAGATCAAACAGCTCTATTCTAAATGTATACCGTGCAACCTTCAGGAATCAAATTGATTTCCCAAGAAGGCTTTCATGTTAAGAAGGAATTCATATTGACCAGCTAAAATTTCCCACTGAGTTTCCACAAATAAATTGTCATTCAGGTTTATCAGAGATTGATTTGTAAGTGAGGTTAACTTCAGGAATTGGCTCCCTCAGGTCTGATAACCCTTACATTAAATAATAAAATAAGCTCCTAAATTTGTTAAATGGAAGACTAGACCTTGGACCCTTGATAACCTCACCAAGGAACAGTCACAGGATAAGGCCCAGCCCAAGAAAACCTAGCGGTCTTTGCTCAACACTCACATTTTTTGGCCACAGGACATGGGGTGCAAACATAAGGGCAAGGTTATAGGCAGACATCTTATTCTTGTCTTGTTTTTTTGCTGTCTGGTACAGGAGATCAAGCAGTAACTTCAGCAAGTTACGATTGGGTGGAGGGAGAATGAGAAAGAGTAACTGAAGAGCCTCAATTTGCCGCTCCTTATCTGGTATATTGGTCTTGTTTCCTTTGTCATCAAACTGCATCAAATCTTGAGGACAAAAGGAATGATTACAAAGGAGGGAGAAAATACAAGCAAGAAAAAAAATAAATAAATGTTTCTACTATTATCCTCACCTCAACTCCAATCAAAGAAAGAAAGAAAAGAATCAGGCATAAACAGAGATTATAGTAAAATATAATAACAAAATAATGTCAATACAATTCAATAATAAAAAGAAAACCCCAATCAAATAAGAGCAAAAGACTTGAATAAATATTCCTCCAAAGAAGATATACAAATGACCAATAAGCATTTGTATATTCGGTACCATTAGCTATCAGGGAAATGTAAATCAAAACCATAATGAGATACCACTTCATACCCACTAGTATAGATATCATCATAATCAATAACAAATGTTAACAAGAATGCTAAGAAGAATAAACCCTCCTACATCACTGAATGTAAAATGATACAACCACTTTGGAAAATAGTTCGGCAGTTCTTCAAAAAGTTAAACATAGCCCGGCCAGTGTGGCTCAGTGGTTGAGCATCGACCCATGCACCAAGAGGTTGCTGGTTCGATTCCTACTCAGGGAACATGCCCAGGTCGTGGGCCCAATCCTCAGGGCGGGCCATGCAGGAGGCAGCCATTCGATGTTCTCTCTCACCAATGTTTCTATCTGTCTCTCCCTCTCCCTTCCTCTCTCTCTAAAAATCAATGAAAATAAATGAATAAATAAATAAATTTAAACCTTATGACCCAGCAATTCCACTCACTTTTCCTCACCCAGATATTTTATTGCTAAAAGAAATAGGAAAGTGAATTGTGCCCTGATAACAGGATAATCCAGGCAGCTTCTCGGAGTCAGAATCGTTGTTTCTCCCCCTAAGAGACTACACAGGTTATCAACAAAAACCCTGGATAATTGGAATTTCAAAAGATAGATAACTATTTGGGTATATAATTCATATAGATATGAAAATGATTAGTATATTTTTTAAGCTGTTCAACTATAATAAAAACTCCAGGTTTAGGAAAGACGGGCAATATTTTTAGAAACTGTTTCCTATTAATATGAAATTGAAAACAGCCCTGGCCAGTTTGGCTCAGCGGTTAGAGCATCAGCCTGAAGTCCAGAGAGACTGGGGTTCAGTTCCCGCTAAGGGCACGTGCCTCGGTTGCAGTTTGTCCCCGGCCCTAGTTGGGTTGTGTAGGTGGCGACCACTCGATGTGTCCCTTTCATGTCAATGTTTCTCTCTCTCTCTCCCTCCCACTCTATCTGAGCAGAAAAAATGGAAGAATGTCCTCGAGTGAGCATAAAGAAAAAAGAAATTAAAAACAAAAAGCCCTTCCAGTTATCAGCAAGGTGTATCAAATGCTACAACTGTGTCACATATCAATATGACCTCAAAGAACAGTGACCATGGGGTGGTGAAGGGGAGGATTTCAAATACTGTACTAAATTAACTCAATGGGAAAACAAAGAGAAAAAGTATTCTTCATGTTACCCTTATAAAAAGAACTTATCAATATTTTCCATATCTTTTTCAAAGGTTATTATTTTATTTCTGTCCAAAATAATTGTAGAGTTATATGATATTCTAGTAATATTTTCTCATTTATATCATTTGGAATATTACTTATAATGTTATAATAATCTAATTTTCCCTGGTCAGTATGGCTCAGTTGGCTGGGCTTTGTCCTGTGCACCAAAAAGTTGCCAGTGGATTCCTGGTCAGGGCACATACCAGGGTTTCGGGTTTGATCCTGGGTAGGGGGGCATGCAGGAGGCAGCCAATCAATGTTTTACTCTTACATTGAAGTTTCTCTCTCCCTCTCTCCTTCTCCCTTCATCTCTCTCTAAAAAAACCAATAAAAAATATTTTCTTTAATGTAATCTTATTTTAGAAATTCAAACTTAGGTTTCCTTTAAGTAGTAAAATTATTCAAAAGAAAAAATCTTATATTGATTTGTCTTAAAATTAGAAGCAAGAGGTGTTCACTTCGGCAGCACATAGACTAAAACCGGAACGATAGAGATGAGCATGCCCCTGCACAAGGATGACCTGCAAATTTGTGAAGTGTTCCAATTTTTTTTTTTTTAATTAGCCCTGACCAGGTGGCTCAGTTGCTTGGATCATCATCCCATACACCAAAAGTTCATGGGACTCAATTCCCAGTCAGGGCACTTACCTAGGTTGGGGGTTTGACCCCCGGTTGGGGTGTGTATGTTTCTCTGTCACATTGATGTCTCTCTCTCTCTCTCTCTCTCTCCCTTCCTCTCTAAAAATCAATTAAAAACATATCCTCGAGTGAGGATAAAAAAAAATAAGCCAGAGAAAAATACTCAAGGGCAAAAAACTATAGCAACATAACAGCTATGCAATTGAAGAATAAATTCCCTACCACACAGACATAAAGGAGAATGAGAAAGCTATTTTTGAGCTGAAAATGGAACATTCTCCAAGATATAGTAAGTGAAAAAAAAAAAAAAAAAAAGTACCACTTATATAATACCCTACCATTACATAAAAAAAGAGAGAAAGGAAATACATCTAAGTACTTGTAAGTGTAATAAAATATCTCTGGAAAGATACATTAGCAATCACAGCATTGGTTGAGGCTAGGAAGAAACACCGGTGCTGGGGGAACAAGGGAGGGAAAGAGTCTTTTCACTGCATACTCTTTTGAACACTTTAAATTTGAACCATGCGAATGTACTAACTAGTATTTACAAAGTAAATAAAATTATTTTCAAAAAAACAAACTTCCTTGGGATGATGAACACAATATAATATACAGGTGATGTATTATAGAATTGTACACCTGAAACCTACATAATTTTATTAACCAATGTCACCCAAATAAATTCAATTTTTAAAAAATCCTAGGGAGCCCTGTCCAGTTTTGCTCAGTGGTTAGATCACTGGCCCACGGACCAAAGGGTCTTAGGTTTGATTTTCGGTCAAGGGCATGTACCTGGGTTCCAGGTTTGATCCCTGGCCCCCGTCAAGGTCATGCAGAAGGCAACCAATCAATGTATCTCTCTCACATCGATGTTTTCTCTCTTTCTCTCTCTCTCTCTCTCTTCCTCTCTCCCTCCCACTCTATCTGAAGATGAATGCGAAAATGTCTTCAGGTGAGGATTTAAAAAAAAGCAATGGAAATATCTTCGGGTAAAGATTAATTTTTTTTTAATCCTAGGAAAAAGAAAAAGAAACAAAATAAACTTCCAAGAGTAGAGATGATCTCAACTGAGGCATACTAATACTCAGCAAAGCCTCAAACCAAGACAAAACTATAACCATCTCAGGAATGTGAATTGATCCAATGAAAAGCATATTTATTTATATTAAGATTTTTTTATTGTTTTTCAGAGAGAGAGAAACATCGATGTGACAGCAAAACAACAATCGGCAGCCTCCTGCAAACCCCCTATCAGGGAGTGAGCCCACAACTCAGGCATGTGCCCTGACCAGGAATCAAACTGGCAACCCTTTGGTGCACGAGACAACACCCAACCAACTGAGCCACACGGGCCAGGGCAAACATACATATATTGAGAAACTAAAATATTCAAAGCACTATGCTAGGATCCCTGAGAATAAAAAAATAAAACCCACATTTTCAAAGAAGCTAATGTAGCAAGAAAAACATTTGATGAAATCAAACTTAGCTAGCTAATACTTATGAGTACCCAGAGAAGTCCAGAAATACCATGAAACTTTAACCAATATTAGCAAGAGTTTTTTTGTTTTTTCTTTTTTTCCTTTTTATTCTTTGTCTAGTAGAAATATTACTGTCAGTTACAAACAACAGAAAATTCCAAAGGACTTTAGTAAACAGAATGAAATGTATATAGTTTACATCTCCTTCTCACCTCCTATACTCACCAGCAATTTTGAGGTGTGCATGGAAATGTTTATGTGTCAGCAGGGGCTCAGGTAACTCTCCTAGAAACATCTTCAGTAAGGTGGCAACGTCATTTGAGTGAAACTCCCCTGATTCCAAGTCAATATCAGTTCCATTATTGAGAGCATCCCTTAAAATCTGCTGCCGGACACTATTCCCTGGTACTCTAAACAAACCCTCTACTCGCAAGTCTGTTTAGCATGAAAGAAAACAGAGATACACAAAAAGGAAGAAAAAAGAGAAAGTGTGATTAAAATAAGTCATCTAAGACTACTTTACACTTGAAAGGCTCTTTACAAAGATCTTGAAGAAAGTTTTTGCCTTTTTTTCCAGAGTAGTTTAGAACCCACTACCCCCTGAGGAGACAAATCTGTCATCTCTGAGCACCTGGAGAAATGCACCCCAGGATTCATTCAACATCCTGAAGTACATCAGGAGAGTGAATTTAACCTAAACAATAGAAATGAGCTCGAAAAATAAGTTGAAAGAGAAGCCAAATCTCCCTGAAGGCCCCTTTCCTTCGCCATCTGAGACTGTTTGAAGGAGCTGAGTTCATCTGGGGAGGTTTGTTGTTTCTATAAACAGTTTCCCAGCCCAACATGAATCTAAAGTCTCTGTGTTGCCTCTGGAATTGAAACTCTAACCTGTCAGATCACCTTTCAGTCTAAGATTCCTGGAACTTTCGCATCATCCCAACTGAACTAGGTTTTCCTCTCAACTTAGGTGCTAAGCCAAACTCAAGCGATAAAAAAAAAAAAATGGGACATGTAGCTTTGGTTTGATCTGGAAGAAACGTGAAAGTTCATGTTTTCAGCTTAGGTACATATTTATATTCGTATAACTCCCTAATTGAGGGAACCAAGTTCAAATGCCTACAGGCAACAGTAAATGAATGAGCAGGAACCACAGGGAACTGGAGAGCACATACTTGTGTCATAGCTGATTGTGTCAAAGTGGCAACAGGCCCAAGGATGAGACCTTCCTATCATCCCAAGAAACAAAACCTGAGCTTTCCCCATTTAAAAACACATAACTAATTTTATTTTTTTAATCCTTTGCCAACCAAACAAAACATGACTGTAGATGACTTAAGCCCTTAGGCTGCCAGTTTGCAACCTCTGCCCCACTTTCAGTATACCACATAGATAAGCCATAATGTTTGTGTTGAATTTATCAAAGAGTCATATAATGCCACATATTTCACATACACTCAGCTGTGCCAAGCACTTAGAGCAATGACATAACCAGCATGACTACTAAAATAGAAAATGGGAATTAAGTGAAGAGTGTACTTTAATCATAGAATTCTAAAAATGAAAGTATCTTTGGTGATAAGTTCCCTTGAATAAACGTTATGATTCTCTAGGGACAATGTATTTTTCCAGAAAAAATATCTCTCTGAGTCAAGGGGAAGATGTGATTTCATAAACACTATCTAATTTATATACATATTTGAGAATAAAAAATAAATCATCACAGCCCTGGCCAGTTTGGCTCAGCGGTTAGAGCGTCGGCCTGCGGTCCGGAGAGACCCGGGTTCGGTTCCCACTAAGGGCGCGTACTTCGGTTGCAGTTTGTCCCTGGCCCTGGTTGGTCATGCAGGTGGCAGCCACTCGATGTGTCCCTTCACGTCGATGTTTCTCTCTCTCTTTCCCTTCCTCTCTCTCCCTCCCACTCTATCTGTACAAAAAATGGAAAAATATCCTCGGGTGAGGAGAAAAATAAATAAATAAATAAATCATTACATGAGAGAAATTTAAAATAGAATATATTTAGAAACATGTCACCTGATTAGTGTCTTTGTTGATGGTCAATTGGCACCTACTAACTCAAGGATCTTAGCTCTCAACAGAAAACTGACAATTCTTCATTAACAAAGAACAACAAAATTTCAAGTAGTCTTACTTTTGTGTAGATATTCAATTAGCTGGTATATCTGAGCAATACCTTCCTCTGTCAGTGGGGATCCAAATACTACTCCTTTTTCTTAAAAAAAAAAAAAAAAAGAACATACGATAAGACAGGATTATATTTTCCACAAATAGTACAAAATCAGCACACTGAAAACTGCTCAAGCATCCCATATTACAGTTCAGCAAATGCTTTCACAAGGTCAATAAACAAAAATCTTAAGAGCTGGAAGTGCACCAGAAAATGCAATCAAAACAACTCTCAACTCTGCAAGTTTAACATTAGATTGTAGTTTCCTTGAAGGCAAAGATCATCTTCTTATTTAAGTAACAATACCTAAAATGTTGATATTTAATTTAAAAACAAACAAATAATAGAACTTAGAGCCATAATTGTCAAAGCATAGCAGATTATCCACTTGAGCTGATACAAGGTTGGATCTGATACAATGTTTAAACTTTTTGCTACCTTAATAATTTCTTTATATTTAATAAAATAAAATAGTGCCTCTTTAATATCTTATCAAAAACAGCACTATAAGTTATTTTCTAGGAAGGCTTTCTTTGGGTGAGCCATGGAATGAAAACATTTGGGAACTAACAACTGCAGTTAAAAAAAAAAAGTTCAAACTGTCTTTATTGTACCCTCTAGCTGTGTAACTTTGGTTTTTTTCCAATATTATTTTAGGCCCTGGCCAGTTTGGCTCAGCGGTTGGAGCGTTGTTGGCCTGCGGACCAGAGAGTCCCGGGTTCGGTTCCCTCTAAGGGCACGTACCAAAAATAAATAAATAAATAAATAAATAAATAAATAAATATTATTTTAGTACGGTATTAATAGGGCATGAAAATCAAGATGCCCCTGAAAAATACCTAAACTAATGATGTCATCTCTCAGGGACTGACATATATTTCCTTTAGCTTATTTAGACTGTTTTTATCATTTTTAGTATTTTACTACTTATGAAAATGAAAAAATGACCAAAACTGCTTTATGGTATTAGCAACTCCTCAGTGAACATACATGGGAAGCATGAAGCCCAGGAAGCAACTGAGACATGTACACCCTTCCCAGACACATCTCCTACCCTTTCGCTTGAGAGACATTAGAGACCGGAAGAATCCTGTCGCTGGGCCAGCCCCACCAGGCAATTTAAGTTCCACTTCTCCCATCAGCTGAGCCAACTCAGTTCCAGGTAAATCAATAAGCCTTGTGATATTGCTGACCACCAACTCAGTGAACACCTCAGGTTTCTCATGCCGGAGTTTTTCCACAAAAAAGTCAGGATTGAAGATAATGGGCTGACCTCGAAGGGAAGAGTCATTGCAGATAACAAAATTGCAGATGGCATCACTGAAAAAAAATGAAACAGAAGGATCTGCAGGGGGATCATTTTCATGTGTTTCTCACGCCCTCTCAATCACACAATTATTCCCTCTTTCTGTGGGTTAATCTATACGTTGGTCTTTTGAAAAACCTTATCCTTAATCTGCTCACTGCACAAAAGAAGACAATTTGGACTTGTTGCTGTTTAAGTTATACCCACTTAGATACTTTGGAATTTAAAGAAAAGACACCAGATAGCCTCTATTATATGACCTGAATTTGCCTCTTAATTTTGGGCATATGCCGCAGGAAGATACAGATCCTTATGGCCTGCCAAATCTAATAACATATTAGAATTGGTAGTTCCATAGACCACATTTCCTTATTAAAGCAGTCAAACCCTGAATTACTACTGTTAAATACTTGTAAAACATCAGACCTGCAGCTGTTCCCCCTAACACAGCAATGGATAATCATCAAATTAAGGCCTTCTTGGGAATACAGCCAATACCAGACAGTATTTCCCAAGCAGTGATCAGCTGCTGACGGCACCACATTCAGAACGCCACAGGAACCATGTGACAGTAAGCATGACACTACTGAAGAGCTAAAACTAAATTTAAATAGTGTAGTAGACATTTTGAAAACAATTAATTACCCAGAGGGTTCTTTGGTTCCTGGGTCCCTATACAGCCAGGCATTTCCTTATTATCAACCCCCTTTAATTGAGCCAAGCACTCTGAATTCTGTTCCTTATAACCAAAAAGCCTTCACTAGAATGTAAGGCACAGGTATGCAAAACTATAAATATTAGTGCAGCCTTGCTCAGGTCCAGAAATAGGCTGCATTTGCAAATCCTTCAATTCTGGATGCCTCTAGCTTATCATCTAAGTCCAACCTTTCCTCAGACAGATTCTTCCCTCTAAGGCACTTGAAAAAGTCTGTAGTATTTTGCTTCTAATTTCACTCTTCTATCACTGAGTAATACTCAGCAAGCCCTCGCTGGTGTGGCTCAGTTGGTTGGAGTGTCACCCTGTACACCAAAAGGTGGCAGGTTCGATTCCTGGTCAGGCCACATACCCAGGATGCAGGTTTGATCCCCAGTTCAGACACATGCGGGAGGCAATTAATCAATGTTTCTCTCTCACATTGATCTCTCTCTCTCTCCCCCTTCCTCTCTCTAAAATTGTTGTTATTTTCTTTTTATTGATTTTTAGAGAGAGAGGAAGGGAGAGGGAGAGAGAGATAGAAACATCGATGAGAGACAACATCGATTGGCCACCTCCTGCACACCCCCCACTGGGGATCAGGCCCACAATCCGGGTATGTGCCCTGACCAGGAATCAAACCAGCAACCTCTTGGTGCATGGGTGGACACTCAATCCCTGAGCCACACAGGCTGGACTAGAATCAATTGTTTTTAAAAAATGTTCTGTTGGCCCCTGATCTTAGCTGGTTTTCCACTCCTACATTACTTGGGTTATACTCCTGGCAAAGTGCCTTTGACTCTCAGAAATAATTCCTTCCCTATTCTTTGTTTGCTAATGCCTAACTACTATACTTTTTGCTTTTAATACGTTACCTATAAGAACTGTATTATTCCATCTCTTACAGCAGAGCCATCACCCCTTGTTTGTACCCATTACCAATTATCTCTAATGGCTTGTTCTAATCCCTATTATATAAACAGTCATCTATTACATAACCGATGAGCAGATAGAACACAAGCCAGAAAGGACAAGTAATCACATCTGTCAAAGTCAAAATTCACCTGACTCATACAAACATTCCCACAATAAAAACAATCACAACTTAAAAGTCTTCCACAACACGTAGGTACCAAAGCACTCTAAATATTAAATATAACTAATCTATAACACTTTGCCACCACTTCATGGATTATTTTTAATAATGGTATAATGAAAACAGGGCATGGGTAAACTTCAAAGTTCATCTCTACTTCCTTGAAAAATTATTACATAATTTGAATCAACATTTCAAATCTTCAGTTGGTGCCTGAATTCCTTCTTTTCTCTAAAATGATAATATTAAGAATTGACATAAAAATTAAAAAGTATGAATGTGTTCTCAAGCCAAAAAGCCATTAAAGAAAGAGAACTTAAAATGCTTATCTCCCCAACTTTTTTACACACCAAGGCAGGTTATTTTTCCTGTATAAATTTAAAGATGCCAATGATTATAATATAAGCCAATTAAAATCAAAAGCAACTTGATCCTAAACTATTCGTAATGCCTCTTTTCTTTCTTTTTTTTTTTTTAATATGTTTTTATTGATTTTTTAGAGAGAGGGGAAGATAGAAACATCAATGTGAGAGAGATACATCGATCTGCTGCCTCACTGGGGATCAAACCTGCAACCCAGGCATGTGTCCTAACTGGGAATCGAACCAGGAGTCTTAGTTCATGGGACGACGCTTGATCCACTGAGCCACATAGGCCAGGCAATGCCTCTTTTCTTAATGTCAGCTTATTTCAGTCAAAAAACAAGAGTCGATATAAAACTATTGTTTATAATCACTGTTAATGAAAAATTACTACTTTACGGAGACAGCCAGAAAATCATGCGATGTGTTAGCACTAAAGAGGGTCTTATAACTTACTGGGTTTAAACTATCATTTTATGGATTTCACAACCCTTCTAATTCTGAAAAACAGATTTCAGATCAAATTAGTTGTAACATATAAATGTATATAAATAATATCCATTATATTCCTAAAATAGAAACATATACACACATATAACCTCTGGATAGTTAGTTAGTTAGTTAGTTAGTTGTTACTCCTCACCCAAGGATATTTTTCCATTTATTTTGAGATAGAGTGGAAGGGAGGAAGGAGGAGAGAGAAACATCAATGTGAGAGAGACACATCAATTGGTTGCAACCCCGCCCCAAGCCTTGGATAGAACATGCAACCCAGGTACGTGCGTGCCCTTGACCGGAATCCAACCTGAGACCCTTCGGTCCTCGGACAGGAGCTCTAACCGCTGAGCAAAACCAGCCAGGGCATGTATCTTTATTTTATTACTTTCCAGAGCAAGACTCAGTTAAGATTCTAAAACTTACATTACCCCACAGTACTAAACTGGATCAAATACACAACTGAGAGAAGAGCTAGAAGCACAAAGTTCCAACTACATTGTTTCTCAACAGAATCCTTTCTGTTCCCTCCTAAAAAAGTAGAACAGGTAAAAGAATAACAAGTTCAAGGTTTTCCCTACCTATTTACAAGAAATAGGTAGGGGCAACTGTGGGAGTCCTAACACACAAGTAACAAGCAATCTGTTTCTTTCCAGCTTCTACTTTGTCCCCCATTCCTTCCCATAATCATTCACCTTTGTTTTGCCACATTTTAATTTCTTTAACTTAGTTTTTTCCCTCTCTTCCTCATTTTTTTCTGAGCAGAGCATCGGGCAAAATAAGATGCAAGAGAAAGAAAGTTAAAAAAAAGAAGTAAAATGGAAGGTAAGAGATGGAAAAGACAGATATAATGGGTTATGTTTTTAAATTATCCCCATATCACAAAGCCTGCTAATTCCTTTCCACAGAATACACGATCCCACAAAATAAAGCAGAGAATATTAAGAAGTATTGCAAAGAATATAAGCGATTTCTAGGACTAAAGAAAAAAATACTATATTTAAGCAAAAACAACTTTCTACTCTGCAGTATCTTATTTTAATATAAACTCTAAGTTTCCTCAAGTTCAAAACTAAATAAATTTCTTACATAAGAGCTGAAAGCTTCTGGTGAGGCATTGGTAAATCGAAGAGACTGGGAAAAATCTTTCTCCTTGTTTGTTGTGACAAAGGAACCCTCCTTTCCCTGCCCATTACAGCCTACACAAATTCCAGGCATATTACAGGATACAAGGGCACATTATGGGGCCTGAAAGGCAGTACTTATTAGGACTTTACACACTCATCTGCAAGAAGGAACAAAACAGAAATTAAAAACTGGACCGGTTTAATTATATTTGCCAACACAGACATGAAATTCAACAGTAGTCTCTCATCACACTGAAAGTTGTACTAGATGAAACAATCGCATAATGTAAGAGTATAAGGACAAGTCGTTTTATAATATGGAGAGAAAGGTGATCCCTACTTCACATCATACACAAAAATAAATAAATTCCAGAAAGAATAAAGATCTAAATATGGAAAGCCAAACTTGAAAAAGTTCAGAAAACAGCATATAAGAATAAATTAATGAGATAGAGGAAAGCTTTCTTAAACGAGATAAAAAGAACACAATCCACAAAGACTGATACATTTAACTACATTTAAAATTTAAATTTCTATTTAAAAATGACATTATAAACAAAGTTTTTAAAAAATGAAATCATAGTGCCTCTGGAGAGAGGAACTGCATGAAAGAACAGGAGTGGGAGAGAAACTTCTCATTGTATGCCTTTTGTACTTTCCAGATTTTTGATTCATGTGAACACATCAATTCACAATAAATAAACAAATGTAACACTTTAAAAGTAATAATAAAAGATAAACTGGGAGAAAAAATTTTGCCATGCATTTAAAAGGATTAGCATTCAGAATTGATCAGTATGCCTAAAATTTATTTTAAAAATACACTCAACTCAGCCCGGCCGATGTGGCTCAGTGACTGAGCGTCAACCCATGCACTAAGAGGTCACCAGTTCGATTTCTGGTCAGGGCACATGCCCAAATTGTGGGCCTCACCCCCAGTGGGGGGTATGCAGGAGCCGGCCAGTCGATGTTCTCTCTCATCGATGTTTCTCTCTCTCTCCTTCTCCCTTCCTCTCTCTCTAAAAAAAAATCAATAAAGAAAAGAAATTTAAAAAAAAAAAGAGAAAGAGGCCTGGCCAGTTTGGCTCAGCGGCTGGAGTGTTGGCCTGCGGACCAGAGTTTGGGATTCAGTTTTCTTTGTGAGAAGGTTTTTAATTATATATTCAACTTATTGACTAGTCAGATTTTTTATTTCTTGTATTCATTTAGTAAGTTGTGTATTTCTAGAAATTTGTCTATTTCACATAAATTTTCAAACTTTATTGGCATAAATGTGCTTATAATATCCTCTTAGGAACATTTTATTTTATTTTATTTCTTTTTTATCCTCACCCAAAGACATTTTTCCATTTTTTGTTCAGATAGAGTAGGAGGGAGAGAGAGGAAGAGAGAGAGAAACATCAACGTGAAAGGGACACATCGAGTGGCTGCCGCCCACACAACCCAACCAGGGCCGGGACAAACTGCAACCGTGGTACATGCCCTTAGCAGGAACCGAACCTGGGTCCCTCTGGACCACAGGATGATGCTCTAACCGCTTAGCCAAACTGGCCAGGGCCTCTTAGGAACTTTATAATGTGTCTAGGTTCCACAGTGATGCCCTCCTTTTTGTTCCCAATATTAATAATTTATAATTTCTCTTTTTTTTAAATATGTTATTAATTTTTTAGAGAGAGAGAAAGGGAGAGAGAGAAACATCGATGTGAGAAAGATATATGGATTAGCTGCCTACTACACACCCTCTACTGGGGATCAAGCTCAAAACCCATGCATGTGCCCTGACCAGGAATTGAATCAGGACCTCTCAGTCCATGGGATGATGTTCAATCCACCAAGCCACACTAGCTGGGCATCATTTCTCTCTCTCTCTCTCTTTTTTTAATCCTCATCCAAGGACATTTTCTGCCTTTATCTTCAGATAGAGCGGGAGAGAGAGAGAGGGGAAGAGAGAGAGAGAAAACATCGATGTGAGAGAGACACATCGACTGACTGCCACCCACATGACCCCAACAGGGGCTGGGGACACACTGCAACCGAGGTATGTGCCCTTAGCAGGAACTGAACTCAGGTCTCTCTGGTCCGTGGGATGACACTCTAACCGCTGAGCCAAACTGGCCAGAACTCATTTCACTTTTTTAATGTATGAATCTTATTAGAGATTTATCAATTTTATTAGCTTTGTCAAAGTTTTGTTGAATCCCTCCATTATGTTTGTTATTTCATTAAGTTCTGCTCTTATCTTTTCAACTTCTTTTTTTCTACTTTCTTTACTGGATTCAGGATAAAAGTGGCACTGCCAATCAGTGGGGAATGGATAACCTTTCCACTAAATGGTGCTGGGACACTGAAACATTTATAGGAAAAAAAAATGAAAATTGATACCTATCTCACTCTAAACATAAAGATCAATTCCAAGTGAATTGTAGATCTAAAGATGAATACCAAAACGACAAACCTACTAGAAGGTAATAAAGAAGAATATATTCTTAAACTCAAGGTGGGCTCAGCCAGTGTGGCTTAGTGAATTGAGCACTGTGCCATGGACTGAAAGGTCCTGGTTCAACTCCTGGTCATGGCACATGCCTGGGTTGTGGGCTTGATCCCTAGTGGGGAGTGCAGGAAGCAGCCAATCTATGTTTCTCTCTTACATCAATGTTTCTATCTCTCTCTCCCTTCCTCTCTCTAAAAAAAAAAAAATCAATAAAAACATATTTAAACTCAAGGGGATAAACAATTTTTAAATAACACATAAACAAAATATTAACCATATAGAGAAACATTAATACATTTAACTTCATTAAAATAAGAACTTGTATTGATCAAAAGAACCATTAAGAAAGTGAAAAAGCAAGCCACAGAGAATGGGAAAATATATATATTATGGCAAAAAAACAAAAAGGGCTCAGATCCTGATCATACTAAGAATCCCTACTAATCAATATGACAGAAACAATGGCTTTTCTCTTTCTCCCTCCCTCCCTCTCCCATCCACTCTCTCTAGAAATCAATACAAATATATTTTTTTAAAAAAGAAAGAAAGAAACAATGACCCAACAGAAAATCTGGCAAGAGATTTCAACAATATCTCATAAAAAAAAAAAAAAATAGCCAAATGGCCAATATATTCATGGAAAAAAACTATTCAGTATCATCAGACATCAGGGAAATGCAAATAAAAAAATAATGGCATATGTGGTCAATGGGCACACCCAGTCCTTGTAGCTGATCAGCCTGAGTAAAACCCTCCATTGACTTGCCAACAGCAATCAAGATTCAATTACAACAGAAAGATGTCAAGTCCACACAAGGGGTGTACCTCAAGGGCACAACTGGGTGACCAAGGAGGCTGTGCCACTGAACCCTACAAGATACCTACTACAATAGGCCACCCTAGGAAGCCTAGGAGACATAGCAACTCTACCTAATACATAGAAACAAACACAAGGAAGCAGCCAAAATGAGGAGACAAAGAAACATGTCCCAAATGAAAGAACAGAACAAAACTCCAGGAAAAGAACTAAATGAAATGGAGATAAGCACTCAAACAGATGCAGAGTTCAAAACACTGCTTATAAGGATGCTCAGTGAACTTAGTGAGAATTTCAAGGAACTTAGTGATGACCTCAAGAGCATAATAAAGGTCCAGTCAGAAATGAAGAATGCACTATCTGAAATAAAGAATAATTTACAGGGAATTAATAGTAGAGTAAATGAAGCCAAGAAGGTATCATACCATCAATTTGGAATATCAGGAAGCAAAAAACATCCAATCAGAACAGCAAAATGAAAAAAGAAATGAGGATAGTATAAGGAGCCTCTGAGACAACTTCAAGTGCACCAATATTTGCATCATGGGATTGCCAGAAGTAGAAAAGAGAGGGCATGAAATTGAAAACATAATGACAGAAAACTTCCCTAATTTGGTGAAGGAAACAGACATACAAGTCCAGGAAGCACAGAGAGTCCCAAACAAGATGAACCCAAAGATGTCCACACCAAGACACATCATCATCAAAATGCAAAAGGTTAAAGACAAAGAGAGAATCTTAAAAGCAGCAAGAGAAAAGCAGTTAGTTACCTACAACGAAGCTCCTATAAGACTATCAGTTGATCTCTCAAAAGAAACTTTGCAGGCCAGAAGGGAGCGGCAAGAAATATTTAAAGTGATGAAAAGTAAGGACCTACAACCAAAATTACTCTATCCTGCAAAGCTGTCATTTAGAATAGATGGCCATATAAAGAGTTTCCCAGACAAGAAAAAGCTAAAGGAGTTCATCACCACCAAACCAGTATTATATGAAATGTTGACAGGAAGAACAGGAGGAGGAGGATGAAGGAGAAGGAGGAGGAGGAAAAGAAAGGAGGAGTAGGAGTAGGAGTAGGAAGGAGAAGGAGAAGGAGAAGGAGAAGGAAGGAGGAGGAGGAGGAGGAGGAGGAGGAGGAGGAGGAGGAGGAGGAGGAGGAGGAGGAGGAGGAGAAGGAGAAGGAGAAGGAGAAGGAGAAGGAGAAGGAGAAGGAGAAGAAATATGAACAATAAAATGGCAATAAATACATATCTATCAACAATTGAATCTACAAACAAAATGAGCAAGCAGAACAGATACAGACTCATAGATACAGAGAACTTTTTGTTGGTTACCAGATGGGAGGGGGATTGGGTGAAAAAGATGAAAGGATTAAGAAGTACAAATTGGCTGTTAGACTGACAACCTCAAGGGGAAGGGGGGAGGTGGGATGGGAAGAGAGAAACCAAAGAACTTATATGCATATATGCATAACCAATAGACACAGACAATAGTGTGGGGAAGGCAGGAATGAGTGGGAGTGGGGAGGAGGGGAGGAGGGGGGTCAAGGGGAGAAATAAGGAGGGACATCTGTAGTACAGTCAACAATAAAGTTAAAAAAAATAAATAGCCCTGGCCAGTTTGGCTCAGCAGTTGGAGCGTTGGCCTGCAGACCAGAGAGTCCCGGGTTCAGTACCCGCTAGGGGAAGGTAGGAAGGTAGGAAGGTACGAAGGTAGGAAGGTAGGAAGAAGGTAGGAAGGTAGGAAAGAAGGAAGGAAGGCAGGCAGGCAGGCAGGCAGGCAGGCAGGAAGGAAGGGAGGGAGGGAGGGAGGGAGGGAGGGAGGGAGGGAGGGAGGGAGAAT